GTTTATTGTTTTTGCAAACAACCATCATAAACCAACATAACTCAAAAGCAGGCCCCAGAGGCCACAGCTCCTAATGATTTAAGACCTAAGACCCCATCTTTTTTGTTCATCTGATTGTAAATTATAACTCATGCTAGAAGCTCCACTCAGTGGTTATCACATAAAAAAAAATAACAGCATAAAGAGTTTCTTTTCCTTTTTTTTGAAAGTAAGAGACAACAATTTCTTATCCTTTATCTATTTCACCCTTTATCCATCTTATTCCAACTCATGATCTTTTAGTTTCAATGAAACTCAGTTGAGTTAGCCATGCTGCAGAGCAGAATCACATATAGGCAAGTTGGATTCTGCATTTTTTTTTTTTTGGTACTTTAGAAATTGCTTGTTTAAAGTGATCTTGACATGGGTAGAATTTTGAACAAGAGCTAGATTTCATGGAGATTAATCAAAAACATATTTACTTGTGATCCTCAGACAAAATACATATATCAGCTGTGTGCTTATAGAACATAAATAAATAAAAGTTCAAAGATAATTTCAACGGTACCATTTCTTGCCATGCCTGTTGCTAACATGGTGCAACCATCCGATCCCTTTGATGGCCTTGGAGATCTTCACTAGATTAGGTGTTCTCATTCCCAAATTCATCTTTCCGGCTGAGAACTTTAAAGCCTGCAAACAACAGAATTGCCCATCTGATTCTTCTTCACCATCTTCATCTTCATCAACATACTCCTTGCGGCTGCCTTTCTTTCCCTTTCTTGAGCTGCTCTTCAGCTGCACCTTATTCGAATCTGTCTCATATGTCTCCCAAAGCAAATCCATCCCTTCTCCTCCAACATCCGCATTGTGTCTCTCCTCAAAAAGCTTGCACGCCAGTGTTCTTTTCCACTCTTTTTCTCTCCTCATCGACCCGAAACTCCCAAGATTTGTCCCGAATCCATCACTATCAGTACTGCCAAAACTATCTCTGTCTCTCCAAGAAGAATTCCCCATTACTTTTGAAGCATGATGTGCAGCATTGTCAATTCCTGTTTTAGCTTCACTAGTGTTATTCTCCAACACTTTGGATTCCCTGGTAACGGATTCTCCTTTTTGTTCCTCACCTTTCTCGGACTCTCTGCCCATTGGTGTTTTGACTTCTTTTTCTTCCTTTGTCCGTGGCAAATTTTCAAACACCTCCTTTTCATGCAAGAATTCTTCCAAGCACTTTACTCCCACAATCACCTCAGCTGATTCCAGATACTTAATCTCACCCAAATTTCCTAAACCCTTTTCAGAAGAAGCCCCACTGGACTGTAAACAACTTTCTTTCGACTCCATCTCCAAAACTTCGTAAGGTTTTTCCCCAATTTCAAGATCAGAAGCCTCAAACACAATCTTATACGCTTCAAGTGCCTCGAAGCAATGAAAGTCATCACCTTCGTCATCTACCTTAGACCTAAACCTTTCAACAACTGTTTGGTATGTAGCAAGTAAGAAACTGACCTTGGACTCTGACAATTCCAGGGGAGACCCATCATTGACAAGAAGGGTGAAAAGAGCAAGAAGCAAGAGAGAAGTGGTGATAAACAAAGGGGAGAGAAAAGAGAGTACCCTGAAGAGGTACGGGGAGAAGAAAATGAAGTAAGAGAAATACAGGGGATGAGAAAGAATGAGGGAAAAGAAGAGCATAAAGTCAGAGAGGAGAAGACTGGAAAACCCAATCTGCTTCTTCTTGGTAGGAGTTGTTGATTCCAAAGAAAATTCAGACATCTTGTGAAAGGGATAGAGGGATCCAAACAGAGAAATTGGAGGGGGGAATGAAGACGGAAACAGGGGGAGGTCTTAGAATTGGAAAAGGTGGGTTCTTTCTTTTGGTTTAGGGTGGCAAAGGAGGGGAGAAAAGTATGAAATTAGAAGAGAGAGCACGGCGTGAATAAAGGAGAGAGACTGAGGAGGAAAAGGACAAGAAGAGTATAACTAACATTTGACAAATAAAGAAAGCAACTTTAGAAACTTTCAGCTGTCTAAATCCGTAACCACCAACTGGGTTTTCTCTTTCCATAGAAATTTTTTCCGAAGGAAAGCTCTAACAATTATGTTTCAGTAAATTCCATGAGATATGTGCGTGGATTAATTGCATATTATACTTGAAACAAAATGAATTTAATCCATCTATACAATTTTTTTAGTGTAATGGGTATTAGGAAGATTATGTTTTACCACTACCATTTACTCCTAAAATTTTCTTACATGATTACATATGATATTTTTTCTAAAAAAATTTAAATTTTAATGAAAAGCTTATATTAATCTGACTTTCTAAATTTGTTGAGTCCCATAATTTAAACACTGCAGGCAGTTGCATCTAAGCATGATCATTTAAAATTGCAGCCTTTGAACTTAAAAATAATAATAATAATAAAGTTGAAACTAATCTACCTTATCCTTTAAATAATAATAAAACACATAGTAGCATATTCTTACAAGAAACTTGCCAATCTTTTCATGGCTGCAAAACAAAATAATGTTAACAGCATCACCACTACATCTGCCCATGAGAAATATGACATATTTGTAAAATAAAAACATCATATCAAGACAAATTTGATTCTTCGGTGCCCACTACTTCATCTACAAAGGAAGATACCCTTTTTCTCTTCTTTTGAAAAAAAAAAAAAAATCAGAATTTAAGCAGAGCCCCCTCGTGTATCAGTTATTACCCTTACCTTCCTTTGAAGAGTGTCTTTTCATGTATACCTGCCTTGAAGTGTATACTCGTATTTATTTATTTAATAATATATAAATTTATAATTTTATATTATACTATAAATACATCATTGCCGTATTTATGGTTAACATTGGATTCCTGCTTTCATGGAAGGTCTCTAAACGAACTTAATTTATCTTTTTATCAAATTTCTACTCCATATTATGATTTTTACATATCCCCAAAAGAAATGTGAACTTGAAGAGTAAATATGTAAAAAAAGATATCAACTTTATAATTTTTTTATTTAAAAATATTAATTTTGTTAATTTTTAAATAAGGATGTTAATTTTTAATTTTTTTTATTTAAGGATGTAAACTTTAAATTTGTTTTATCTAAAGATTAATTGAATAATGATACTAATGTAACAAATGAATTTTTTAATCGAAATATTAAAAGTTAATATTTTTAAATAAAAAAAGTTAAAAAAATTAAAAATTAACATCTTTAAATAAAAAATGTTGAAAGTTAACATTTTTATTTAAAAATTGATAAAATTAATATTTTTAAATAAAAAAATTATAAAATTATATCTTTTTTGCACCTTTACTCGATCTTCAATAATCTTTTTCTTTTTGGCACATGTAGAAATGCGAGCGCGTATAACATGAGGTGGTTAGCCCATTGGTATACCAGAAAGCCCATTTCGCATTCATATAAATTAATCAAAATTGAAGTGGTTATCGCGATAATCAACAATGAATTCAAGTACATCTAACCAACCAATTCATAAATCATTACCCACCCCACGGCTTTTTGAATGCAGCAATCACTTAGTTTGTAGCTTCAGATCGAAGATAAACCTTATTCAACAAGCACGAGGCCGTCGTTATTACGATTAGGTTTATTCAATGAAGAGTGGAGTGGATCACTAAGTTAGTTTACAGAATGTAAGAAGGGTTAAGATTTGAGAATAGGAATAGGAGACACAAGGCGATTGAGAGGTTTGGAAGGATGGATTGAGTGCACATGGGAAGCCACTCATGGCTACTCAAGTGCGGGTCATGCATGCACCCCTTTGGTCCCCCTTCTTTTCACCCTTTTAATGGACCCATGTGTTTGTTGTTGCCCTCTTTTGGGTTTTCTACTCTCTATATACTAATTGAGTTCTTTCTTGCCACCTCTCTTTTTTCCATGTTTGACTACTGAAGTCTTCCGATTATTAATCAGAAACAGGAACAATGTCTTGGTCTTTGGATCAAAATTAAAAGTGAAAAAGATGATTACTTAAGAAAAAAGAAAGGAATTTCTATATCTCTGTCGGATTGATTCCTTTCTCCATTGTCACATTAGTAAATAGGTTATCCACTGATTTATGCAATCTTGAATGGCTGTGATGCATACACCCAGATAAATGATTGAGGTTCAATAATCACCGATCTTTCTCTCCAGTAGTTAGCCTCATTGCTTTTTAAGGAATTCAGGAATTGAGAGTTAGATTTAGGAAGGAAGTCTACCTCAAAGAGTGGTATTCTAGCCATGGACAAAATACCCAAAAGCAGCACCAGAAGCTGACAGGCACATTTCGAGCATTTATGTCTGCGAAGAATATCAGACCCAACCTTTCTTCCACATCTTGAAAACTAAATCAAGATCACGAGCGAGCTAGATATTAGTTATGACCATAGCTTCCTTACCAACTAATTCCAACTTTCCAGTACAATAACTTAATGGCCCTCGCATATTTTTAACCATCCAGAGTGCCTTGTCCCAGTATACCAACCTCTGGCACTTTCCCTTGCAAACAGGAAACCTGGTCAGTGCAACTAAAGTGAATGGACTATATGGATAATTGATTATAATGCCTTCATGTATGATCATGCATAAAATGGGACCAGCCATTAATGTCAACCTGACTCAACTAACATCTCGCGAGTAAAATGTTTGCCCCTTCTTTATACCTCTCTGCTCTCAGATAAAAGTTTCTTTACAATCAAAACCCCAAGCAAAAGGCACCCTCAACAATACGCTAACACCTAGTCAGAGCCCACAGGTAACAAAATAATGGAGGTGGATGAGAAGAAACCGAAGATTCCAAATCCTGGTTCCACAACATTATTTCTACCACTGCATCATCAGCAAAGTCATACAGAATCCAAAGGGTGAGACTAAGTCACTAAGGTAAAACACTTGGAGTGAGATTACCTCCTATAGTGACTGGTGAAATGGCAATGGTTAAATACAGAACAAGGCCATCGTTGTCATGAGGCTTTCCAAGAGTCTATCAAAATTAGAATGGAGGACATTTTAACATTACATTTCCTCCTACCACCGCTAACGAAATAAAAACCTTTAGTTGCAGAAACAAATGCCAAGTTATACCAATTCCCCATCCAGCATTCACATCACAAAACTCGACAAGCATAGTAAACAAAAATTAGAAAGATCAATGACAAGCAAAGAGCCAAAAGTTCATTCCATTTTAGAAAAGAAATTATAACAGTTATAACAGCATTCTGAAACAACTACCAATCCTATCGGGCATAACAAGTTATAGCAGCAACTACAACAGAATTATGTGACACCACCCTCTCCACATCCTAAAGCACACAAAACATGGCACCTTTCACTCTGTCATAACAGGCTTGTTCTCATTAGCTTTCGGTTTCTGCTCCTTAGGCTTCTGCTCTTCCATTCTCCTGAAATACAACAAAAACAAACCATATTAGGTCTAATCAAGAATCTACAAGTTAGGAAACATAAAACTGATGCACACTTCTTCCTCTTAATTGGCTATTAGGTCTTCATCCCACAATCTCCATATTAATTAGCTATTAATTAAAAGAATTTTTCAACCATCATATATAGTTGGGTAACACAATCATTCACTTGAGTTGAAGCAATCAACAAGATGTTAAATCCTTTTCAATTTTGAGAGAAAAAAAAATGAAATAAGCTTGCAGACTTTTCATTGATTTTTACACAATTTCTTCCTAAGAACCAAATCATAAATCAAACTACGATGCAGACGACAATTGATTTAACAAATATAGGCAGATAATCTTAAGAAACCTCACATAAATTCAGAGAAACTAAAAAAATCTAATTCAAGAAGAGTTGCAGCCTCCAGCACTATAACGGAGAAACAAACAGATGATGCTACATAAAAGGCTGGATGAAGGCAGGAACAAGAAGATGAAGAGATACGAACCTCTTCTCGGAGGCGCCGCCCTTCTGGCTGAGGAAGGAGCGGAAGAGAGGGGAGTTGACGTCGTAGATCATTTTGAAGGCGGCGGCGATACGAAACCCTAGCAGCTACTTCAACCTTCAAACTGAGATTTTACTTTACCGGGGGCCGAATTCGGCTTTTATGCGGAGATATCCCAAACTGGTCCGACCCTGGTTTTTGGGTAACCCGATCCGTAATTCATTGGACCTAAGCCCAAAATCGATTGCCATTTCATGGGCTTTACGGACGAAGCCTGGAACCAAATCGAACTTGAACCATAAATCACGGAATGAACGGAGAAAATTACAGCCGTTGGATGAATGAAAAAATGGCCTCATCAGAGGTGGGACCCAAAGTCAACGAGTCGCCTCCAATACCTGTGGGGTTCGGTTCAGTAGCAGACAGAAAAAGTCAATAAATAAATCCGCGGCTGGTTTGGTCTGTTATTATGTTTTTTTTTTTTTTTGAAAATAGGTAATGAGCTGTTATTATGTTTATACTCTAACCAAACAACACGTGTAGAAACATACCTCGAATTTTCCTTTTGCTCGTGTTTAACACGAGATATAATTCTTTAAAAACTAGATATTTTGGTGATCTACCTCTTCCGGCGTTACCCAAAGTGTTAATTTCAATGTAAATTATGTACGTACTAATTTAAAAAAAATTAAGAAGATATTTAATTTTGAGGAAGCCTTCAGGCCCACTGATTATTTATCTAATTGTAAAATGCTTCCTCACCCAATAACAAAGTTTGAACATGTGGTTTATCCCTTTTCCTCTCTTTACAGATTGAACCACTTGTTTTTATTCTATCAAAAAAAAAAAAGGATCTTTAATTTTAATAAAAAATGATTGAAACGTAAAATAAGTTTTAATTGAATTTTATTTATCATGTAATTGAAATTGAACATATTGAATTATAATTTAGGTTAAATAATTATAAAAATTTTAAGGTTTTGTTTAGAAATGTATTTTTGTGTTTTAGTTTTTAATTTTCTATCTTTTTATTATTTTAAAAATATATAAAGTAATTAAAATAATATTAAATACATTTTGTATATTTTGCTATATTAAAAGACAAAAATAAATTGATAAA